TTCCATCGACGCTCTTCCGATCTTAGTCGTTACCGCCGCCGCCGCCGCCGCCGCCGCCGCCGCGGCTGCCGCATTCCTGCACTGATAAGACAGAAATAGTCCGGCGGCCCGGGGTCTGCCTGTTGACTCGGCGGGGACAGAAACGCCTGCCTTTCCAACCCTCGCTGTCCAAACAGCGCAGATAAGCGGCGAGGCACGCCGGCAAGCCGGGCTCGCGGGCGCTGGGCAGCGGCACTGCAGCCCGAGGCCGCCCGAGGGCCCGCGGGGAGGCGGCGCGGGGAGGGGACGCGAGGGGAGGTGGCGGGGGGCTCGCCGGCCACCCGGGCTCTCGCCACAAATAGTTTCTCGGTTAGGGAATTCGCCGGCACGGCCAGGCAGGGAACAGTCAGTTCCAACTTTCCCCCAAGTGGCTCCTGCTGCATTTCTGAGGCCCTTTCCCCAGAGACCTGGCAGGCCAAGTAGGGAAACATTCGCTGGAAGGAATCCGGGGGTGGGGGGAGAGCCCGGAGCCCGGAGGAGGCCTTCCTCCTGCACCAGGCCGTCAGTGGTGGGTGTGCCCGGGGAGGCGGTGTCCCCTCGCGTCCACAGATGTGTGCGCCCTTGTCTCGCCCGCTGTGTGTGTGTGTGTGTCTGCACCCCTGTGTGGGCACGGCTCGGTGGCTGTGGGTGTGATTGTTTACGTGCGTGCACAGACAAACGCCTTCTCTGTGTGCCTCCCTCCACGGGAGCCTCTGGTGCGTGTGCGCGCTTGTGGGTGCGTGTGTGGCAGGACATGGACTGTGCCTTCCAGCTCCGTGTGAGTCTATTTCTGGGGATGTGAGTCTTTGTTTGTCTCTATGTGAGAAAGCGAGGGCAATGGGGGAAGGATTTCGGAAAAGGGAGGTGGATGGGACTCAGGAGAACAGGAAGAGAGAATGAGAGGGGAGGCTAGGAGCTGGGGTGGGTGCTTGGGTGGATGGGCAGAGAGAACGAGGCAAGGTGGGCCTCGTGGCTTTGGAATGGGGCATGAGGTGGGGGTAGGGGACCCAGAGGCGCTGGGGCTACTGGGTATGGTAGGGCCAGCCTCCAGGCCCCAAAGAAAGCCCGGGGAGTGTGGGATTCTGAGGGAGCCCTAGAAGAGGCAGTGTGGAGGGAGCTGGCAGTCCCTGGGGCGGAGGAGGGACAGGAAACCGGAGGGACAAATCCTGAGCTCACCAGGCTGGGAACCACAGCACCACCCTTGCCCCCAAAGGCCACGCCCCTCTCTCCTCCTTCTGGAGAAAGAGCCCAAGGGCTTTGGGACGACAGTGGGTCAAGTTTATGTGCCTCTAGGGGCTGCACTGCCAGAAGCCAGGTGAGGGCAGGGAAATGCGGGGGGGGGGGGGGGGGCCCAATTTGTTGGACAACTTATTTGAAGTTACACCCTAAAGACCCAGAATTACACTCGGGGATCCTCAACCCCTTCAAAATGCCTTCAGAGGTCAGACGAAGAACCAAGGGAGTGTTCTGCCCGGAGAGCCCTTTTGCGTGCAGCCTGATTTCCTAGGACCCTGGTTGTGCTCCTGCCTGTCACTGTCCACTCAGGTGCCCACTGTCAATCTCCTGAAAGGCCAGAGTGGTCCAGGATAACCTTCCTTTACCGCTGGCTTAACAAGGGACCTAGATATCCCCTTCCTACCAAATCTCTACCCGGCTTCCCCCATAGACTCACCAGTCTGTCCACTAACGTCCAAAACCCCTCACTCGTTCCCATTTCTAAGCCTCTGCTCCCACACTGTTCTTTTGCCCAGAATCCCTCTACTGCTCCTCTGCCTGTCCAGATCACATTCATCCTTTAAAGCTGAGCATGGGCCCCACCTCCTCCAGGAAGCCTTCCCTAGTTCCACTCCTGCGCACCAACCTTTCCCTTCTTTGAATGCCCATTGCCATCGATGCTATGCGGTGAATTGGCACTTGCCTGACCAGCGTCTGAGATGGTAGGTCTGGCTTCCCAAATGTGGTCCCCTGACATCAGGATCCGGTCTCTACGTCCTGCTACCTTCCCCCATGCCGGGACACAGGGGCTCACCATCAAATGCCTGCTAACTCTTGCAACCACCCGAAGCCCAGTGGGCCAGTGAACGGAGCTCACACTCTGCCACTTACCTGAAGGTGTGAGTCCCCATGGGCACCCCCACCCACTGTGGGTGCTTCCCGCACGGGCATGTGAGACCCCAGACCTTAGAGGTTCTGGGGGACTGGGGCAGGGGCGGTCACCTTTAGGCCCTGTGTAAAGCTCAGA